TGCCATTAAGGACACTCCAGCGAGCAAGCGGCAACGCGGGCCCAGGAGTGCAGCCCCTCCACCGAAAACGGCCAAGAAGCCGAAAGCGAAGGTCAGCGAGGTGACCAAACGACACCTGATCGTGGCACTCATTGACCGCAGCGAAGAAAACGGCAAGATGTCAGCGGCACAGTGGAAGCTGGTGCACGCGCGTCTTGTCGACGCACTCTTTGCACAGATGGAGGAAGACCCCGCGGCCCCAATGCCCACGTTCGATGGTGCTGGGTGGCTAAATGGGGTTAAGATCCTGAAGTGCAATGATGACCCAACCCTAAGGTGGCTGACGCGTACGGTCTGCCAACTGGAGGCGATGTGGGAGGGGGCCAAGCTGGAGGTTGTGGACCGGGAGCTTATCCCGTCCAAGCCTAAGGCGAAGGTACTCTTCCCCATCACGATCCAGGGGGACCGAGCGCTGAAGCTCCTTCAGCGGCAAAACGCGGACGTGCCAACGGCCGATTGGAGGATCCTACACATTGGTAGCCCACTACCCAACGAGGGGGGCCAGTGTGTGATCCTCCAAATAAACAAGGAAGCAGAGGATCTGCTATACCCCAAGTTCGGGAAGATGGCGTGGGGCATGGGTAGCGTCTACCTGCGCCTCAAAAAGCGCCACCCTGAGGACAAGGACGCGCATACCCTGCAGGCAGGCGAGGTGGAAAAGGACCTAGGTCTCGAGTCCATCGTGGAGGCCGCCCAGGGTCTGGCGCTTGAGGATGAAGAAGAGGAAGACGGTGACCTGACGCTGGTAGTCAACCCGTCAGGTGCAAGCGAGCCAGCCACCCATGCTGAGTGTGCTGCAGCTCAACTTGCATAAAAGCAAGGTAGCGTCGGCGGAGCTCCTCATCGCCATGGAGCAAGGGCTCGCCGACATAGCTCTAGTCCAGGAGCCCTGGATTGCGACAGGCAATTCAGTGGCCGGACTAAAGTCCTCAAATCATAACCTGTTCTACTCAACATCGGTAAGCAGGAGCAGAACCGTCGTACTCGTACGAAAGGGAATCCATGCTTACCTTATGTCTCATTACAGCACGGATGACCTGACGGTTGTGATGCTGGAAAGTGAGGAAAAGCGCCTTCTGGTGGCTTCCTGCTACATGGCTCACGATAGACCCGCACCACCCGACGAACTCAGGAGCCTGGTGACAGAAGCCGGCACCAAAAACTATCAACTCGTCATCGGAACGGACGCCAACGCCCACCATAATGTTTGGGGAAGCACCGACATCAATGACAGAGGTGAGTCACTCTTAGACTTTATACTAGCAACTAATCTATATATAGCAAACGTTGGGGAGGAGCACACCTTCGTAGGTCCGACCTCATCCAACGTGCTAGACCTAACACTTGCAATGGGAAACAGTACTACGGTATCTAGCTGGAGGGTCCTCGATAGACCATCCTTCTCAGACCATAAGTACATTCAGTTCAAGTGCGAATTCAAACACCCTTCGAAGACAACAGTCTATAGAAACCCCCGGAACACAAACTGGGCAAAGTTTAAAAAGACAGTTACTTCGAAGCTCGCGAATCCGGGCTCAGTGAAATCCGCGGAGGATATAGAGAAGTCCCTAAAGACCCTATCCAACGAGCTACTGAACGCCTACCATGCATCGTGCAAACCCTCGAGAACGAAGAGGAGGTCCAAGCCACTCTGGTGGAACCGAGATCTCTCTCTCCAAAGGAACAACCTCAAGGAATTCTTCAAGATCGCCAAACAAGCGAACGAGGAGATTGTCAATGAGGAATATAAAATCCTACTTAGGAGCTACAAGAAGGAAATACGTAAGGCACAAAGGAACTCGTGGAGAAACTTCTGCTCCAACATCGAGAAAGTGCCCGAAACCGCCAGGCTTCGGAAGCTGCTTTCAAAGCAGCCCACAGTACAGAGCCAACTAAAACTAGACACCGGACAGTGGACAGAGGGCAGCAAAGAAGCCCTAACAGCACTAATGGAGGCGCACTTCCCTGGATGCACCGAGGTCACTGACGCCAAGGAGCATCAGGACCTAGCAACCGAGGAACACCACCCTCCAATAGGTCTGTTAACCACTAAGAGAATACACTGGGCCATAGACTCCTTCGCGGGCATAAAAGCACCAGGACTGGACGGGATATTCCCAGCCATGATGCAGTTGACCAAAGAGGTTATCACCCCATGGCTCCTCGCAATATACTCAGCATGCCTAAGCACAGGCTATATCCCCATCCAATGGAGAACCTCGAGAGTTGTCTTCCTCCCTAAGGCAGGAAAGTGCAGCCACGTGAGTCCCAAGGACTACAGACCGATAAGCCTTACCTCCTTTATACTAAAAACACTAGAAAAGCTGTTGGATTTGCACATCAGGAATGAGGTAGAGGGACTGATGTCAACAAACCAACACGCCTACACTAAAGGGAAATCAGTGGAGACGGCACTACACTCGCTAGTAGCCACCATCGAGAGCGCCCTTCACAACAAAAAGTATGCTTTGGGAGCATTTGTGGACATCTCAGGAGCATTCAACAACGTGGCCACAACCGCAATAACAAGTCGCCTAGAAGCGAATAACATACACCCTGCAATCAACGTCTGGATCAAAAACCTCCTAAGTTGCAGACGGGTGCAATCGGAGTGGGGCACTGCTTCCATGGTAAAGGGGGCACACAGAGGCACACCTCAGGGTGGAGTCCTGTCGCCACTACTGTGGAATCTGGTGGTCGACGACCTCATCAAGAGATTTGAAAGGAAGGCCCCAAAGATAACAGCTTATGCAGATGACATAAGCATACTTATTACGGGTGTATGTCCATCGACCCTCAGCTCCTTAATGGAACGTACACTCAGGGAGATACGTGAGTGGGCGGAAGAGGTAGGACTCAGTATCAACGCGGACAAGACGGACCTCATCCTCTTTACCAAGAGGTACAAGGTACCGATATGGACCCCCCCGAAAATTGACCAAACTAGGCTGACCCCAAAATCACAGGTGAAATACCTAGGCACAGTACTGGACAGCAAGCTGGCATGGAGGCCCAATGTAGTGGAAAGGGTGAAGAAGGCTACCATTGCGCTTTATGCATCCAAGAAGATGCTCAGCAGCACATGGGGCCTGTCACCTGCTCTAATGCACTGGATCTACATCTCGGTGGTGCGACCAACTCTGCTGTATGGAGCCTTAGTGTGGTGGCAGGCTACTGAAAAGAAGACATACCATAAGCTTATGGAGAAGACTCAGCGACAGGCTCTGCTCTGTATTACAGGGGCGCTGAGGTCAACCCCAACAAAAGCACTCGAAACCATACTCGGAATCGACCCCCTGGACATTCAAGCTCGCCTGATTGCGGGAAAGGCAGCACAACGCCTCATAGCATCAGGAAATCTATCGCCACAAGGATACGGGCATAGTTCAATCGGCAGGGAAATGACCAGATCAACTGACTACATGACCCCCCAAACTTGCCTTGACGTCAAAACAACCACATCTCTGGGACCTGAAGACTGGAAGATTGGAAGGGACCAAACTGAGCACCTCAATATATACACAGACGGCTCCAAGATGGACGGAGGAGTAGGAGCGGGCCTATACTGCACAGACCCCGAGATAAGGCTGTCGTATAAGCTACCCGACCCATGCAGCATATTCCAGGCAGAAGTTTTTGCCATCGGGAAAGCAGCGGAGGTCGCTCTCCTCACAGAACGAGCACACGATGCGGTCAACCTATTCGTCGACAGCCAAGCGGCGATAAGATCCATGCAGTCGTCCGTGGTCAGTTCCAGAAGTGTCTTGGCGAGCAGGGAGGCATTAGACATCCTAAGCACGACAAAGACAGTGCGGATCTATTGGGTTCCCAGCCACCAGGGCATCGAAGGAAACGAAGCGGCGGACGTACTAGCTAAGGAGGGCGTCGGGCTGGAGAATAGGAGAACCGAGAACGTGCCTGTCTCCCTCAGAACGCTGCAAGGCGATCTAGAGAAGCAGGCTAGAGCACAGACTGATAGCAGGTGGAGGAGTACCACCACCTGCAGAACCTCGAAGATAATGTGCAAGGAGCGCAACGAGAAACTTAGCCACTACCTACTGCACCTACCACGAAAGGACTGCAGACTGATGGTGGGAATACTAACAGGTCACTGTCTGGCGGCTGCACATGCAGCAAAGCTAGGCATCACCAACAGAGACAGTTGCAGGAAATGTGAGGAACCTGGGGCTATCGAAACCCTGGAACATCTCATCTGCAACTGTCCGGCTCTCTCAAGGGCAAGGAGGAGATACCTGGGCGCCCCAGTGTTGGCATCACTGGAAGATGCCTCCAAAAGGACGCCTCAGGAACTGCTGGCCTATGCTAAAAACACCTCGATTCTCGGGGACTTTTTAAAACCACATTAACACTCCCGCGACGGTTCATACACCCCCCCATCCGGATAACTAAGGGCCATATTGGCCTATGCGCGGCCCCGCTGAGGGCCGTCCGGGTTAACCTAACCTAACCTATCACAGGTGTCTGGATACAACATTTCGTTGCTCTGAGACCGAGGCGTTAAACAAGACGGACGGACGGACGGACAGTCGGACAAACCAACAGGCAGATATATGTACATTGCTCTATCCACAAATCTCATCTCACCTCTATACTCCTTTTGAGTATAGGGTATTACAACCCTTATCAGCGAAATCCTGCACACGACATGTATTGCCTTTTTGCAATTCTCGTTCATTTTCTTTTCCATCATGCGTTTGTGCATCTCGAGTCAAGCCTGAATATGACTTATAAGATTGATGAGAGCTATGACGTTGACCACCTTTGCTTTATATGAACGAAAACTGTGGATAATCAATTTGAAATCCAAGTTGAAAACATTGCACAACTCATTAAAGATATTCTGTGACTAATCAAACATTAAGCTCTGACCTTGAACACTCTCTATTAAATATTAAATGCCTGTCAGACACAGCCATCAATCATTTCTATTCACGAGTGCCAGCAAGTAAGAAGCCCCCAAAAGATCTCCGTCACCATGTGGAATCTAATGGCGGTTTTACCAGTAATCCTACTAGTTTTTCAAGGACTTCCAGTCCCGTCCAGCTCCGATCCAGTGTGGGGCTTAGAGTTTCTCACGAATCTAAACGATGTTGTGACAAAAAAGATCAAAAGGTCGATGGAGGAGCTTGAAGATTCCAGCATTTTAAAGGCTAAGGAAAGCTACCTGAGTCTCAAGGAGGCTGCCGAGCTGCCATTCCTCCAGCTGGATGAAAAAATCATGGCTTACAACAACTACGAGAAGGTCTATGGTGTTCGGCAGAACCCAGAGCTGGAATCAGACGCCGACAGCACCACCGAGTTGACAGAAAAGTTTCCTGTGCAGAAACGCACAATATTTACATTACTATTCGAGACGACCATTTTTGCGATCTTCTCGGGACTGGGTTTATTCGGTAGTTTAGCCAGTCGCGTTTGGAATGCCCTACTCTGTGATAGGGTAAAGGCAAATAAGCTCAAAAAGAAGATTGAAGCATTGTGCTGTTCACTCTCAAAGTTTAAGTGTAGGAGACCATCGCATAACAAGAAAAAGGATAAAGATTGCGAGGAAATACAAGCTATAATTACAGATATATATAAAGACTAATTAAACTTGAGAGGCTTATACATTTATTCCACCACAAAGAAGTTTGGAATATGAATATGAATACTATATGAATACTGACGTGTCTGAGAATCTACGAGCGGTTGGTCAACCGCGTCTAACAGGCCATTGTCAGTAATGAGAAACAGCTAATCAAACTAAAAGAGGGGGAACGTTATGAGTTGCTGCGGACACCGCAACTCTAAATTTATACCCGATACTAAGTCAGTATGGCTCTCCTCCGGCAGACGCCGCTAATATTAAACGAAACGACAAAGAGTGCGTGCGATAGAGACAGAAAATCACTCTGAGCGTGACGTCGGGCGCTGCGTAGCCACTGCAAATTGATTTGTTCCTTTTGGCTATAAAAATGATCTGATCTGATCCAGATTCAGCAATCTGATAGATATGGTCGTTATCTATGATTCTGCGTTTTTAGTTTTCTCGTATCCTCAATATTGTGGATGCAACAGATTTTCGTCCTTTGTGGGGGCGGATGGGGGTGGGGCGAGATATACTAAAAGATCTTACAGAAGTGCGGATACCAAATTTGGTTACTCTAGCGTTAATAGTCTCTGAGATTTGTGGTTGCCCCAGATTTTCGTCCTTTGCGGGGGCGGAAGGGAGTGTGTCGAAATTTTTACACAAAACGGTCGAGGTCCGATAACACAGGAGTGTGGATACCAAATTTGGTTGCTCTAGCTCTTATGGGTATTGAGATCCTTGAACTCATATTTTGCAATTGGCAAAACCGACCATGAAACCTATGTGTTAGAGAGAGACAGAGCGAGAAAGAATGAAATTGTTTTCTTGATTCTGGCTATAATAATTATACGATCTGGTTCAGATTTTGCACTCGAGAAGATATAGTCATCTTCTACGATTCTGCGTATCGTCGAAATTGTGGATGCCACAGATTTTCGGCCTTTGTGAGGGCGGAAGTGGGCGGGGCAAAGTTTTGAAATATTCTTGTAGCAGTGACATATCACAGAAGTCTGAATCCAAAACATCGTTGCTCTAGCTCTTATAGTCTTTGAGCACTAGGCGCTGAAGGGGACGGACAAACGGACGGACGGACAGACAGACAGACAGACAGACAGACAGACAGACAGACAGACATGGCTCAATCGACTCGGCTATTGATGCTGATCAAGAATATATATACTTTATGGGGTCGGAAACGATTCCTTCTGGACGTTACACACATCCACTTTTACCACAAATCTAATATACCCCAATACCCATTTTGAGTATCGGGTATAAAAATGCTGTATGCCATAAATAATTCGAGTGACGATGATTTGGATGACGGTGACAACTTGGGAGACCTTTCTTTAGTTTCTGGCGTAAATTTCTAAACTGTTCTACATAATTATTTTGTTTTCTTTTTTTGGTTGATGTAACTGTTGCGATCGATGTTTTGTTATAGTTGTGGAGAGCTGTTTTACAATGTACATTAGGAAGGTGTATCGATGTTGTGTTATTTATACAATAAAGTTGACAAGAGAAGTCTAGTGTGGTTGTGTGCATGCGTTTTACAAAGTATTTAAATAACAGAAGGTACCCTTCAAAAGGAACCAACAGAAGACTGCACCAGAAAGTAGGAACGACAAAAGGTTGCTCATCCAGACGACTTCCGATGGCACCCAGTTCCGGATAATCAAATTTCTTTCCTGTGTTTTGATTCAAAATTCCAAATTGGCTCCATAAATGAATTTGGTCAGTTCTCTAAAGAAAAGATGCTCTTTCATGAGCAGCAAATCCCTGACGCTGTGAGCTTATTCTAGCGGCTGTTTCGGGTGTTTGTAATTTCGGCTCAACAATATTAGATTGTAATTGATCAAGTGAGAAAGAATTTTAGTATACGAGTAAATCAAGAAAAATGTGATTTTTGAAGTTATCTGCACTGCATATTCCTGCATGGAAGCCAAGAATGTTCTATTTTTTGTCGATACCTTAGAAGACAGTCGTCCCATTGCAATACACATTCCTCGACTCCGAGAAAATGGAATGGAAATGAAATCCGTGTGGCATACATACGAGAACATGAGTGCCGAAATTGCACTCGCACTTGACGGTCACATTACTCATAGCGAATCGAGTAAATATGATAAATGATATGCGACTGAAGGGACTTATGCTATTGGACCCGCGATGGCCGAGGCTGCCATTTTAATTCAGGGCACGTTGATAAGGGCTTATCAGGCGATGGGGAGAAGACCGAAGCAGTCTGGCAGAACCAGGCCCAACAAGGACAAACACTTTATCGGAAATTTATTCCCTTCGATGGCTTCAAAGGAAGGCAATGGCAGGCGCACTGGTCAGCGGAAGTTTGACCAACTGCAACTACAGGGGCAGGGACATGGCACCTTTACGCGAATTTTCCATTACGCTCGGAAAGGTCCTTCTCACTCGCTCCGACTCTCGTTTACCCATTCCCGGGCACTGCTCTGTCTGTGGCGTTCTGGTTGCTTTAATGCAATAATCCTTGAATGTCGGACGCACGAACGAGTTGATAAGAATTTCAATTTTTATGACAAGTCAACCTTTCCAGCCGCCAACAACATAGCGGCCAAACGAAAAGGGCTCAATCGTGCCAATGGCGGACAATAAGAATAATGGCAACAACAACAACACCAGCAACTGCAACTGCAAAAGGTGCAACAAATGCAACAACTGCAATAATAATAACATGGCCGATTGCACCATTACCGTTACGAACACTCTCGAGTCCCTCTGCAGCTCTGCTCCTTTGTCCTTATATTTCATCCATTTACACCTGGTACTCGTGGATGTCAAGGGTATACTGTGTTCTTCAGCATGATCTGCACTTATCGATAATTATAAGATCAAGAAGCATATATATCGTTGTGCTGATCCATGGTGTATACACTCACTATAAAAAACGAGGGGGAACGTTGTGAGTTGCTGCGGACACCGCAACTCTACGGTTATACCCGATACTAAGTCAGTATGGCTCGCCTCCGGCAGACGCCGCTAATATTTAACGACACGACAAAGAGTGCGTGCGAGAGAGACAGAAAATCAGTCTGAGCGTGACGTCGGGCGCTGCGTAGCCACTGCAAATTGATTTGTTCCTTTTGGCTATAAAAATGATCTGATCTGATCCAGATTCAGCAATCTAATAGATATGGTCATTATCTATGATTCTGCGTTTTTAGTTTTCTCAAATCTGCAATATTGTGGATGCAACAGATTTTCGTCCTTTGTGGGGGCGGATGGGGGTGGGGCGAAATTCTGAGATATACGTTTTATAGTGACATCTTAAAGGAGTGTGTGTACCAAATTTGGTTACTCTAGCCTTAATAGTCTCTGAGATTTGTGGTTGCCTCAGATTTTCGTCCTTTGCGGGGGCGGAAGGGGGTGTGGCGAAATTTGGACATGAAACGGTCAAGGTCCGATATCACAGGAGTGTGGATACCAAATTTGGTTGCTCTGGCTTTTATAGGTTCTGAGATCCTTGAACTCATATTTTGCAATTGGCAAAACTGACCATGAAACCTGTGTGTTAGAGTGAGACAGAGCGAGAAAGAGTGAAATTGTTTTCGTGATTCTGGCTGTAATAATTATACGATCTGGTTCAGATTTTGCACTCGAGAAGATATAGTCATCTTCTACGATTCTGCGTATCGTCGAAATTGTGGATGCCACAGATTTTCGGCCTTTGTGAGGGCGGAAGTGGGCGGGGCAAAGTTTTGAAATATTCTTGTAGCAGTGACATATCACAGAAGTCTGAATCCAAAACATCGTTGCTCTAGCTCTTATAGTCTTTGAGCATTAGGCGCTGAAGGGGACGGACAGACGGACAGACGGACGGACGGACAGACAGACATGGCTCAATCGACTCGGCTATTGATGCTGATCAAGAATATATATACTTTATGGGGTCGGAAACGATTCCTTCTGGACGTTACACACATCCACTTTCACCACAAATCTAATATACCCCAATACTCATTTTGAGTATCGGGTATAAATATAAACTCTTATGGGTATCATACATTCGGAACCCTCGACTATTGCAATTTGACTCGTTTTGATATATATGTACGTATGTATATATTTTGGCCTGCAGTCTGCAGCTGGAGCGTTATGATTTATTGGCATGCAACACGGAGCTCTCTCCCGGAAATGTGTGTGCAGTCAGCCATTTTGATGCGAAAGAGGGTTGACTGCGGCAGCCCGGAGGCACTGTAGCAGCCAGTTGTCGCTGTTGCAACCATGAGCTCAGATACCACTCGGTTTGGTTCGGTACGGTACGGATTGCCTTTGCAAACGACTGTCAACAAATTTGCATCTCCATCCATCTGCAATGCCACACTAGGAAGCATTCCCCGTTGGCGTCTGTGTTGGGTTAATTGCTGAACGAACGGTCGTCATGGAGATTGGAAGGAAGTTTTCTGTCATGGCTGAACGGTGTGTTTTGAGGGGCAGAAGTAATTTACTGCCCTATAAAATATTAATATTCAAAATATGAAAATACAATGCCAAATACCAGCCATTGGATACTAATTAGCCCAAACGAGTAGCTAGAATAAAGCTAAAAGTTTACCAGATATACATTATAGATTTTTGGACCTACATATGATATCTATGCATCTTTCTTTATCGAAACTTTCTATTCAATTCCAAACGCACGAAAGATTAAATCTATTGTTAGATGATAAACTATTCACTACTCAAACTCTTAAGCGTGAGTTTCTTACTGATTCGAAAATTTTAGAAACCATTTTCCACCTTTTATTATAGCCCTTAATAAATTATTAAATTCCACGTGATTCAAGCATCTCTCAAAATTCATTTAGAGCTTTTAATCGTAACTTCATTTGGAATGGAAATGATGCACATGCAAAACTTTTCACTCACTTTATTTTCATTTTGTTTGGTTTCTGGTTTTTGTTAAGCCCCACACCACAAATCCCCAGAAAATTACGTCGATTATTCAATCATTTTGCTATCATCCTTTTTGCAATTCGCTTTCAGCAGTTGGCGCAGCCACCGGGGGCTGCAAATGCAGACAGACATGACTCTGATTTGTTGAAAGTTTCGTTGTCAGCAGCAATTAAAACAACAACGCCTACGCCCGCCCCCTGCTCCCACTCCCAGGAAGCCCACTAAAAAATGCACAGAAATTACGAGAGTTGTGCAGCACTAAAAGCCAACACAAAAACGGAAAACTGCAAACAAAAACCAAATTGAAGCCTGGCTTCCCACACCACCGATGGAATATGTTCGACTGGCCCTGGGACTAGACCTACGACTGGGACTGAGACTGAAACTAGACTGACCTATGGCTGGACGAAGAACTGGGACTGGGAGTGGGAGTGGGCGTGGTCCGGGAAGCGAAGGGAAAATGAAATTAAATACGGAAAAGCATGAGGGCGGAAAAGCGTCAGCCGACCAGCAAGCAGGCTGTATATATAAAGCGGAATTTGCCTGAAAGTCAGTCCGTGGCAGAGCTATTTCAGGTCCTGTCCTTGTCCGTATCCGCATCCGCATCCGCATTCGTGTCCGTGTCGTTTCCCTCGTTTATTGTCCGCATGCCAAAATTTTAACTGCACACAAAATAAATAAACACATAGATACACACGCACACATGTGCAGAAGAAATGGTTGCAACATCAAAGGCGAAAAAGGAAACCCAAGCTAAATGCAGTCCTGTGTTTCCTGTAATGAAAACTTTAGAACTTTTGCTCTTCTGTCACTTTTTCATACACTTGCAGACCTTAGTTTACAGACCATTACGTTTTTGAACCAATAGATCTGCAGAGTATCTTACGATTCGGGCCCAAAAAAAAGCAATCCTACTTGGTTTCTTGTCTTCTTTAGTTTTGTTTTGGCTTAAAAAAGAGGAAAAAAGAGATTGAGAAATTCGCATTGTGTTGCAGTGCAATTGTTGCTCCAGCAAATAAAGTAAAAATTCTATTAAAATTGAAAGGGCAGGGATTCGGCAACAAACAGTCACGAAGCGAGCTTAGCCTCTACGAGTATTTTTCTGGCCGTTGTTTGGACTTCGCCACCGGTCAGAATTGCAATTACAATGAGCCAAGGGTAGCGCAGAAGGAGCTGTGAAGAGGGATCCACGAGCCAAGGGCCATTCATGCCGGATGAGGGCTGGAACAAGAATAAACCGTATAGAGGACGGACAATGCACCTATTGAAATATTTATAGTGATAGCAAAGAAGGCGAGGAGTTTCAAATGAAGCTGATTTCTAGGGAAATTATTGTGAAATGGCCAAAATAATTAGAGCGAAAAGAAAGGTACTTAATAACTGTAAAATAATAGTATGTATGTATCTCCTCGAAACAGTTTCTATAAAGCTGTAAAACGTATGCCTTCCTTAACTTGAACGATGCTCTATATCAATCAGCCCCAGCCCCTGTACCTGCCACAGTTTCCTCTCAAATTGCACTTCAAGTTCACGTTGAACTACTGTTAGATGATATATTCCATTTATCATGTGCTGCATCCGACTTGAGCCAAATCTCCGGCAATCCGGCAACTTCATTTCGCGTAACTATCACTCATATCGTATAAGTAAATCATATGGCACTTTCCTGTTCATTACGCGAGCCAAATGGGCGAGCTCCAGCATAAAAACGAAGCAAATCAGAGAAGCTCCAAAAAAGACTAGAGCAAAAATATGGAGGAAAATTTATTTTGCGGAACTAAATTGAAATAATTTTGGCAGCTGAAATGTGTACAAAAATATTTTAATACCAGGCACACACACAAAGATGGAAGGAGATGGAGTCCCTGAAATGGAGCCGAGAGTACCGTCCCAGACTTGCTTGCAAATAAAAACAGTTTTGCCTTTCCCAACTATTCCTCCAGACCATCTGCAGTGCTTCTGGCAAATATGTTGGCTGTTCTGTTCTGTTCTGCCTTCCTCCACGACTACGGCTCCGCTGGCATTGGGCCAAGTCTTCGTAATTTCAGCTTTTTTGTCTATTGGCCAAAGGAAACTGGAGCGCAGCTAAAGCGTCGGGAAGGCAAACAAGCAAGCGGCAGGGCAGACAAGAAGTACATATTAAATTTGTCATTTTAGCACAGTGGCTGGGTCCGGCCGCGGGGGCGCGTCAGCCAAAGTTCAACTCAATTGCAGTCGTTGCAGTGGCAGTGGCAGTTGAAAAACGCATTTGCCCATGGAAATCGAACATATTTAATCGGTCTGCTAGTGAAGGTGTCACAGGGCTATCAATTAATCAATATCACTTACAGCGCGAAAGTGTGCAACGGAAACCTTCTTGAAGCTGGTCATTAGTATTAAAAATCAACCAAATATTAATACCATATTAGTTTTTAAAGTTGCTATCAGCGTTGGAGGACTGGGGTACTATTTTGATATTTAATTATTGCCTTTTCATCACCTAATCAACACAATAACCTATATTTAGTATGATGAAAAAGTACGAATAAAATTATGCAATAGATACCAATTGTGATCAACTGTTCGGAACCTTTCGGAGCAGTCAAATCATGTGTAAAAGTTTTTAGACTTAAGAGTCTTAAGTTAACTATAAAAGATGAAAGAGATATATTAATACTTTGGTTTGGCCCCAAATCAGAGCTTGATATTTAATTATTCTATTGAATACCACATCGTTATAGATTGAAGAAATACGAATACAATTTAAGGTTCGATTAAACAAATAATAGCCCGCACGCTTGCAAATTATCTCCATATGATATTAAACATTTTTGAATTGCTGATCAGATGAATGGATGAAAATATAAAAAACAATGCTCAGGCTGTGTGAATTACATAAGGATTTCCACTAAACATTCACTTGAAATGCACATATTTATGTACATATAAGTATGTGAAATATATTACAGATAAGAGTGAAGTTGCTTCCGTCCCATTGTTGCAAGCTTTTGGGAAAAACACAACAAGCTTTGTAATATTTCTTTATAGCTCGAACATTTCCTAATGAATATGAATAATCTTTTCTGAATAATTGCTTGGACCAATTTTTGTGCAAGTGTAACAGTAAGCAACAGTAAGCAGTAGTAACATGCAAGGCAGTCCAGTTGTACCGTCCAACGTATAAACCAACAAATATTCAAAATTGTAGAGCAGAAAGAAGAGGCGAACAATCCAAAGAATCCAAAAATTATGCAAAAATGTGCGTGTGAGCATGTCGCAATTGCGTGACTCGCAGTCATATATGGCAACCAGGACCTATCGATACGTTCCCACTCTTTTGTTGCAATCGTCTACGGTTTGTTCGGGCTCATCGGGTCTACCACAATGCAAACATTATCCGATAGCAGCGCTAATGCAGTAACAAGTATGTGCCAATGGTAAGCCTTTGGGTTCGCTGCCCTGGATCCAGTACTTGCCACACTTCAATATCAATTTGTAGCTCGTGCCACAGCAACAACATTTTTTGGCCGAGGCTCAAAACTCAAATTAATATGATACATAACAACAATTGTGGCAACGGGCAAATTTGTACAGTCATAATCGTTTTACTTGCCAGGTGGTTTTGGTGGTTCTGTCCGGGCTTTGTGTGGATGCCTCTGTCCTGTCCATTGGTTAAGTGCATTGCTTGTTGCGGCTTTTCCGCTACAGCCCTCTCACTCTTTAAATCTCTTGCTATTTCTCTCTCTCTCTCTCTTGGACAGCTCGAAGCTGCTACTGGTGCTGCCACACAGACATTCTCGTAATGCCGTCAAAATCCGCAGGCAAATAGGATAAAGTAAAAGTTGAAATGCAGGTGAAAAGCAAATATACAAAATAACCACACCGACATAGGACAGGACGGCATGAAAGAGACAGAAACAGAGCCAAGAGTGGGCCTGGGGGCTGGCAGTGGAGGAGATTTCAATTGTGGAAATTGCATATTTTAATTGAAATATTCATAGGTCTGTAGGAAGCACTATGAGTCTGCATTAATTTTGAGTATTTATATTTGGTTTGTAAATGTTGTTGTTTTGTTTAATAATAAATGCAGGTGTCATTGCAAAGAATACTCGTACATGCAATACACCTACGCATGCCTGAGCACATCCATCCATACGTTTCAAAGACAAGTATATGGTATATTCTTACCACATTTATGTATTAGAGTAAAATGCATATATTCAATTTCGCAAAAATTACTTCCAAATACATACATTGGACAATTTATAAAAATAATTTACCTTAATAAGCTGGATATGAAGTAAAGGATAGTAGCGATAGTATTGATCTAGTTACGTCTACACACTTTTATTTCTAAAGAATTATATGAGTGTGCGAGTATAAATACTATACGAAGAGTTGGGAGCTACGAGAACTATGATATGACAAAAACATGATATCTTTTATGTAGTAAATCTCTTTTTTTTACCTGGATCCTTATCTTAGAACTTAGATATTACATTGCTCTATACAATCTGAGTTTCCCTAGAAGTTCTTTATAATTCATTGCCATAACCCACATTTTCCGACCTGATGCATTTGGCGAGATCTTGAAACGGTAGGCATGTATGTTTTTCTTTTTTACTGGAAGCGGAGTAAATATTGTCTTCGGGCAAACGTCGGGTAGTTGATCAACAGATTCACTATCTTGACGGGTTGTCAACTGGCTCCACAAGCAGCTGCAATGATATAAGGCCCTGTAGTTACAGAAGCGCCGAGCCATTGGGTTAGTCTCCAGCGAAATGTGCCACGCGGTGTACCAAATATTATTCTGGCTCTGGATGCTGCTTTACAGCGGCTCCAGGGTCAGCTGCCTGCAAATGAGTAATTGCAACAAAACAGAGGTGACGATGATCCGGGGAATGGAGCTCCTGACATCACTGACTCTCAGCAACTGCAGCCTGCCGCACCTTGAGAACGCTTTCTTCATGCGATTCGGCCACCTCCTGCACCTGGAGCTGCAACATAGTGGTCTGAGTAGCTTGGAGGACTTCTCCCTGCATAGTCTGCCGCGGCTGCAGTCCCTCTCGTTCGCCCACAACAGCCTGAGCAAACTGAGATCGTGGTCCAGCGAGCCCTTGGAAGCACTTGTATCCCTGGATCTCAGTCACAACAGGCTGTCCAGCCTGGACGCCCACAGCTTCGTGCTCTACCCCCAACTGCAGATGCTCGACTTGGGCTCCAATCAGATCAATCAGATCGCAGATGACACCTTCTATGGCCTCTCGCACTTGAAGCATCTCCAGCTCAATGGAAATCGAATGATGCTCATCGATGGCAGCCAGTTTCACGGCCTGCATCGTCTTTCTAGTCTGATGCTTCAACATAATCTGATCGAAGGCGTAGATCCAGGCGCCTTTGAGAGCAATACACATCTACGAAGTCTCCGTCTGGACGGGAATTTATTAAACTGTCTTCAGTTCCTCACCCAAAGCGGTCTTGCTCGGTTGGTTCATCTGAATCTAGCGAACAACCTACTGAGGAAGCTGGAGCCGCAGGGATTTGTGACAAACGTTGAGCTCCAGGACCTGGACTTGAGTCGCAACAATTTTACTGAACTAACGAAGGAAAGCTTAGTGGGATTGGATTCCTTAGAGGTGAGTGGTTATGAACGGTCAATAAAATAGACTACAGATTGTTCTTTGTTCCAGTACGAAAGTTGTAAAACTTGTTATAACCTCTGAGCCTTTATGCCTGATCCTCCATCCACAGCGACTCAACATCAGCCACAATATTCTCTCCCATATCGAGGATGGCAGTCTGGAATCGCTTGCCAGCCTGCTCCAAGTCGACGCCAGCTTTAATCAACTGACATCCGTATCGGAAAGTTTGTTCCATGCCAACACCCAACTGGAGGAGATAATTCTCTCCCACAATCGAATCAGAGATATATCGCCCAAGCTGATGCAATATCAGACGCATTTGAGGCATCTAAAACTGGACGGAAATGCTCTTATCGAAGCCTCTTTTCTTCAAAGACTGCCGCCAGCCCTAAACCGTCTGTCCCTGATTGTGGATCTCAGCTCGAATCGCCTTCAATCGGTCAATTTGAACAGTCTGCTTCATTTCGGGCACATCAATCTGGCGGATAACCACTGGAGTTGTGCCTGGTTGGTGAAGAATTTGCTACTTAGAGCTCCTCCTTCCCTCAACTTTGCTCGGAACTGGAGCCTCTTGAGCGATTGGAGCGAGGACTTGACTAAGGTTCAGGGCATAGACTGTATCGAGGACGCACGCAACCGTTCGATTGTACTCCTGAGTATCGGCGAGGTTATCCATAGCAAAGTTCAGTGTGCGGTAAGTCCAATCGAGATCCCATAAGTAGATCACATCTATAAAAAATTACTTTGGGTGAATAGAAATCGTTTGACGAGCTAAATCCAGCGCCACCGCCACTGACATGGCCCAAGATTCCCACAGACCGCTTTGACTCGCGATCGGTGATCATTTGGATGCTGGTGGCCATAGCAATCACCTTTGCCTGTCTGCGTTGGCTTAGGCGCTTTGTGGATCGCAAGGAGCAGAGTAAACGGAAACTGAAGGCCATCAATGAAGTGGTCAGTTGATATACCGGATCTCTTTTGAGCCCACACTTAACCGCTTCTATACTTCAGTACATTAGCAAAATGGAATCGCAGCCCATCAGACATGATCGCGAGAGATCATAGTCCACAGTCCGTAGCAACAACTTCAATTCAACAAAGCCAATATATAATATAAATATTAGTGTCTAGAAGACACAGTCTACACAACTACATGTGCCAAAGTTCATTAATATATATAAACCTAAACTAAGAAATCGTCTTAAAAGCGAACTTTCAGTTATACAAACGCTCAATGATCTGGGCGTACTTGGCATGGACTATGTTGCGCCTAATCTTGAGTGTGGGTCCCAGCTCGCCGGTGGCCAGGGAGAACTCGTGCGGCATGAGGGCGAACTTCTGCACCCGTTGAGCACTCGAAATGGAATTCTTGTTTGCCCGCTTGATGCCCGCCTCGATGGCCTCCAGGAGCTTTGGCTCCGCCGTTATCTGCAGAGCCGCCGACATGGCAGCCGTGTCGTTGGGCAATTGCAGGTCTGCAGGAATGCTCAGAAGCTCAGAGAGACGGGTCTGATTGAGGCCCACTTCTTGCAGCCACTCGATAGTCTCCTCCCGTAGGTCGTCCAGCGGGATGCCCGTCGTGGGATCAGATTTCGCTTTCAGCGACAGCAGAACTGTGAGATACTTTCGATGGTCGCCGACCAGCAGGGCATTACTTACGCAGGGCAGCTCCTTTTTAATCAGCTCTTCGATGTGCACGGGCGGAATGTTCTCGCCGCCAGCCGTGATGATCAGTTCCTTGAGTCGGCCAGAGATCACCAAATTGCCATGCTGATCGAAGTAGCCGAGATCACCAGAGAGCAGCCAACCGTCCGCATTGATGGTTTCCTTGGTCTTCTCCGGCTGGCCCAGGTAGCCCATGAAGGTACTGCGTCCCCGCATGATAATCTCCCCCTTCCCACTAGCATCGGGCTCTTGGACCTTCACCGCCACCCCAGCAATCGGCTGACCTGAGCTGAAAAGATTCGAGATCTCCGTGTTCAGGGTGATGGCTCCGCCGCTCTCTGACATTCCGTAGCACTCGCCCAGCGCTATGTCCAGGCCCAGGAAGAAGTTCTTCATCTCATCGGAGGTGGGGGCCCCGCCAGTCAAAAAGCTTCGGCAGTGATCCAAGCCCATCATCTGCCGAATGGGTCGGATCATGCGTGAGGCTAACCAGTATTTGGTAATGGCGTAGATCGAAGGCTTCTCTCTGCAAAATGGCGAAAGTTAGTAACCCTTCGGATCCACTTCGAATTGAAGTTCCAAAACTCACCCAGCCATCACGGCCAATTGGTATTCAGCCACCGCCGCACGGGCCTTGGACAGCAGCAGTCTCGAATAGGGCTTGGCCTTGGCCTCCGCGGCCACCAGACGCTCCTGGAACTTTTCGAAGACCCGCGGCACACCGAACATACGCGTCGGCTTGGCCTTCTGTAACGTTCGCACCAGAGTTCCCTTGAGCGCATCCTTGTCGGCAAATGTCACACAACCTCCGTGTTCGAGGCCAAGGAAGACATCGAATATTTGGGCAGCGATGTGACTGAGGGGTAGAAAGCTGACCATGCGCTCCTCGCCATCCTGTACGTCCTTCATGCTGGCAGATGCGGACTTCGCATTGAAGACAATGCTGTCGTGGGTGAGCATCACCGCCTTGGGCAGACCCACAGTCCCGGAGGTGAAGATCAGCATGGCGCATTCGTTGGCATACACCCGACTCTCTCTTTCTAGTAGCTCCTTCTTTAGATCGTTCGAGTAAGTCTTCTCCTCAAGCTGCTTCCAGCTGTAGTAGCCCTCCTCTTTGTCAACGAAGGCTTCATAAGGTCCGTGCAGTTGAATGACTGTCTTCAGGCGTGGCAGTGTGTCCTTGATGGCTCTCAGCTTGGCCATCTGCTGGGAATCGTCCACAACACAGACCGTGGCCTCGCTGGTGGCCAGCACATGACGCACAGCCTCCGCCGAGTTGCTGGGATAGATACCAGCCACCACGGCACCAGCTCGCAGGGCTCCCAGCTCGGCAAAGAACCACTCGGGGCAATTGAAAGCCAAGACGCCAAGCGAGCTGCGTTCCTCCAATCCGACATTAATCAGCATCAGAGCAGTCTGTTCCACTCTCCGCTGATAATCGGCATAGGTCAAGGTGGTCCACCCGTCCCCCCCCGTTCCGGGCGTCTCCCAGACAAGGGCTGGATGCTCCGCGTACTGCTGACACACATCCTGGAAGCGTCGGGGTATGGTCTGTGGTGGCAGCTGGGACAAGGCACTGGTCCCACCCACATCCAGACACAGCTTGACAGCCCCATGAAGCGAGGTACTGGTGTAGCTGGTGGCAGGCTTAAGGTTTCTCCGCTCCAAGTCCATGTCGTTCATCCTGAAGGCGTGCCCGTCAAATAAACTCCGGGCTCTTAGAGCGGCCGCTATTTAAAGCATCGGTCCATGACGTTGATAAGACTGCCCAGCATCGGTTCGGATCGCTTAGCAGGCAATGACGTTGTGGTTTCGAACATCGGGCGAACAAGGGCAATAAATAGGTTACCGGCTCCAGTAATCTCTCGAGAAGCCAAGCCGACGATTAGTCAACAACTCGGTCTTTGATCTGGTATGTTCTTCGATTTCATTGACTGACCTTTAGACACATGTTTGCTCCGGTTTGTTCTGGCAGATAAGCCTAAAATGTAGTATTGCGTCTTGGTGTGTATGATCTTGGTTCCGTCTAGGCGGGACACACGCGTCTTTGCCAACAGACCAAAATTCTGTTGCAGATTATAAGTGTCATAGGTTAAACAAAATTGTCTTGTTTCCATATGTATTTTCTGATGTCAGGCAGCGTTTAATGAGCTAACCTCAAAAAAAAAAAACAGAATAAAACAAGGAATATGTTTCATTGATTAAAAGATTCATTAAAGACTTTCAAACATAATAGGACCCCAGTCAAGGATATTTTTTAATTTAATCATTATTTTTTATTATTCATTTCAATTCATATATTAAGATAACATTACATATGTATCTTTATAACCCCTTTTATAATGAAAATACTCCGTTTTTCACTTTAAGAATAATATAATAAAAATAATATCAAACTTTTAAAGTGATAGAAATTCTCAAGAGGAGATTAAAAAAACAATATCATTTTGCCAAGCCAAATAATACGTAACTTGAATATTATTATTTTTTCAGAGCAACAACAAACCAATTCAATTTATTGTCTTGATCTGAGGTTATAAGATTGGCACATATACAAATAATTGGTGGTATAAATATGTAATTTAAATGTACATATGCACACATATGTATGTATGTATGTATGTATTCATGTATCTGGCAAATGTTTATTACCGACGTGGTCCAGGAGAGATCAATTAAGAAATATAATAATATTATTAAGTATATTTAATCTACTTTTGTATTCAGACTTTCTTAATAGTAAGTTCTTTAATTTAATCCGAAACTGACCTTAGACAAGCAGCTGGGAGATCGAATCGATCGAATGGCAGTGGACATTCCCGCCCATATACAGATAAACCCCATGCAGCCGAGATACCTTCCAGGTAGCGCATACCGGGACATGTGTGCTCTTTGTAGCTCATAAAACATCGTACATGAGGGTTTTACCCCCACCTTAGCCGAACCGGGCTTCCCAGTTGGTCACTCACTCGCAGTCGGGCGGATTAGGCGCGGGGGCCGAAGCCCGCACACATGGGCACGCACTTCGGCGTCGCATAAAGAGAATTGAAAATAGGCGGAGCAGAGAGAGAGAGGACAGAGAAAAAAACTTTCCCACAGGCCAGCAACAAATCGCAGTAGCAGTAGCAGTCGCAGTCTCAGTCGCCGTCAGCGTCTCAGCTGCTGTCGGCCGTACGTTTGTTCGTTTTCATTCGGCTGCGCCTTGCTGTGCGCCTGGTCCTCCAACAGTCATTTTTTGTACAAATTTATAATTTATTGTTTAATTTATTTTATTGCAAAATGTCAAAAGCGTTCCTGCCTCTCGCCACACTGTGTGTGTGTGAGTGTATTTGTGCGTGTGCGTGCAGCAGTTAGAACTGCGTTTGTGTGTTGCTTTCGAGCGAGCTGGGCTGGGGCGCAGTGGGGAGCTTACATACTCATATGTTGGGGACCGCCTTCTGATAAGCGATAAAACGATATATTATTAACCCAATTGTAATTGTTGCAATTTGTATTTTGCAGCTTATCTTTTGTTATGCGCGCAACAACAACATTATTATGAAATTATTTACCAAAGAACAGCAGCTCATGAATCGGTAACAAGTGTAAACCTTGTCTATGGGTCGACGGGTGTACGGCGTGCGGTTCCGAGTGGAATGGGGCTTTTATTGCATCAAAACTACAACACAAATAGTTGCAATATTGAGCTTTCTTTTTTTTCTCACTTCCTCAACTATAAATACATATGTAACTATGTAGCTACACATAATATATACATATGAATATGTGCACGTATGTACATATACTTTAAGTTGTATGTTCTGCTGCTCGGGCGAGTGTGAGTGCGACAAGTGTAACGGTACATGAGAATAATATCGGGTAGCGTAAAGAAAACATATAAAAATTCGAAATACATGTGGAACACATAGGCATGTGGAAAAGAAGAGCTCACCTCAAATGCGAACTAGCAATAAAGCTAACAATAAAATGGACATTGAACCTGCATCGAATAAGGTTAGGGTGGTTCTTAAAATATAAGTCTATTATTCACATAGTATACATATATGACAATTTTTTGATACTGGAGGGGATTATTACATAGCAAAGACCAATTGTGTGGATGTATTACCCACCAATATAATTTCAAAGCAACTCAAGTCTACTACCGCCCATCATCCCACGGCTCATTCACACCACAAGAACTATAAAGGTCCACCCTAAAGACCTACATTGTTGAGGCTTGTTTGATCTGGCTCTCAATGAATGGTCGGCCACTAAGAAAGCACACGTCATGCAATTACAGGACGACTGAAGTCTAAATACGACACCTTACTGAAAGGGCTGAGATCAAAAGACTTCAAGTGGTGTCAAGTGTGAGAGGGACACAATTTATCATGTATAATAACGGAATAAATACTATACCAATTCGTTCCAAGTGTCTATGCCATAATAACAATGCAAGAAACATATGAACCAACCTGCTACCCATTATACGAGTCATCAGATCCTTACATCAATATTTTCATAATGCTTTTATGCTCGGTAGTCAAATGAGTGTCTTTGTTTAAACTTTGGTCTTCCACTGTACATGTTCACATTATAAACCCAATTGACACGCACTAGAAGAGTCTGATACGTATAAAATGCGATTTGCCATATGTTGGGCTGTGGTCATAAGAATCCTAATATGCATACCCACACTGCTGCCACACCAGACAGGGTACATCGGTTTCGGCATGTGTAACAATATGTTTTGTACATATTTACACGCACCACAACGTGTGTGTGTATGCATGACCTAATGTGTGTTCTCACTGATTGTTCGAGAACGGGGTGGGGGAGAGAGCAACAAAAGAGCATGAGCATGTGCATGTCGTCGGTGACTTTTGTAGATTTGTTTGTGTACATATAGATATAGCGAAATAACCCGGCGCTCAGCATTGATTAGCAGGCGTCAGCACAGAGCCAAAGCAAAAAGTTCATGCGAACAAGTGAGAAGTGAGCCAGACAACCAGGCAGCGGCAGAAACAGTGGCAGTGGCAGTGGCAGAGGCAGTGGCAGAGGCAGAGGGAAAGCAGAGCCAACAAACAAGTACACACAACAATAAGGAAACATACACACACGACATACAAAAACGATACAAAACCCACACACGCACACACACTCGCACTCTCGCTCACAGAAAACTACTAAAAGAGGCAGCAGAGGCGGGGCGGGCACGAAGCAATGTTCCAATCGAAAGGGGGAGATGTGGGGTGGCGGGGACAGATAAACAACATTTTATATTCATGTACCAACAACAACGCCAATAGCACAGCAGAGACACCACCGACAGAGATAGAGACGGACATAAAAAGCGAAACGAAAATCAAATAACACGTGTACGTACATATCGACAAACAAGCGACATACAACCGTACTTACATACAAGTACATACATATGTACATATGTATGTTCATGCAGTTCTCCCTCCCGATACACCCGTTCATTCAAAACGAAACACTTGCAGCAACTCATTCAAACTCATTTCTACACACTCACACAGCATACTCGTATGTACATCAACACTAGCACGGTCAGAGGGGAATGAATGTCGGTGCATATGTTAGCCTAACTTGTGGTTCTCTCAGAATCAGCGGATAAGAAAGTGTGTTCTTCTCTCAGTCTCTGTGGCCAGTTGTTGGCCGCATAAATAACAATTACTAGTACAATAATAACCTGAATTTAAAGCTGTTTAATACCTACTTTATTACAAGGGTAAGAGAACGGAGCGTACTGAAATTCAGTTGTGTAGGTGACAGAATATTCCAAAAAGTTATGCTGTACACGGTTTTTGTTTATGTATGCTTCAAATGAAACTTCAGCAAATGTGAACATAGCTAAAAAAACCAGTTTTAATTCACTTTGACCAACTCACTATTGACACAATTGTCGGGTGTACACTATATGTAGGCTATTGTAATCACAGGACGGGGAGAGAGACTGACGGAAAAATACAAGGCAAATTGTCCCCCTTTTTTTTCAATTCTGACGTGGGCACAGCGTCAGTGAAACTGATCATTTTCATAACTTAATCGGATCGTTTGACTCGACTGTTGCATCTGTGCAGCACTCGTGATTGTCATTACTGTCGCTGTCATCGGTGACAGCTTTCCATAGTCCTTGTCGCACTCACTTATCAGCTTTTGGCCACGCACGTACCCCGATAGTGGTTTCCCCCTCTCGTTCTTCACACGTCTGACAGTGCTTGTTTTCAATGATGCTGCAATTTTCTCTACTGCCACCGCTGATCAGTGGAAAATTCTGGAAACATTTCCAGATTAAATGAATGCGATTGTCCGTGAATTGTGCCTCGTCACGATAACATGACCAGGACTACCCCAATATTTCCAAACGGATCGTCTCATTGCTAGCAGACTTTTTCACGATAATACGGGATATGGGTAAGATTTTAAGACAATGGAAAACAACAGTCACCGAATCAAAACAAAACTTCCACGACGTGAGAGATTAGTTTAAATGGGTCTCTGATTGGTCCCGTCATTTGATTTTTGATTTCAGACTCGTAACTGATAATCCCTAGATCAAGTAAACAAAACGGAGTGCATTTCTTTGAATATATTTAACGAAGTGTTTAAGAAGGGATGAAAAACAATGTATGCACGTATAGTATAGCCTTAAATTTTATAAGAAATCTCTGTCGACATGACCATTTTTTCTGACCTCGCCTGTTAAATCAGTACGCGGGCTGCCTAACTTTTTGTGAGACCAGTGTACGTAACCACAATTTTGACCTCGCCTGTGAAACCAATACACTGCCTTCCCAACTTTATTGGCGGCTAGTGTAGGTAAATCACTAAACGCCGCCCGAATGATGTTGATAGTCACAAAAAATTAAGTTGTTGCTGTTGTTGTTGGTACGTCATCATCATCATGCACATGCTATTTTCATACAACCAAACTTATGTATGTATGTATATATTTACGTGTATGAACGAGTCGTCAGACAGCATACTTACGGTTACATATGTTTTCATGCACGCGAGAGAAACGTACGTATCTATGTTTGTAAATATGTATGTACATATGTGTGTTGCTTGTACCTGTACATATTTAAATATCGTTTCCCTCTGGCCTCCGCTGTTGACGTTGGTGCTGCTGCTGCTGCCTATTACATTTCATTTTCATACCATTTCTGGTTTTGGCTTTCGCTCTGCCAGCGTCACTGCCTTTTTTCTGTTATTGCTCATTACAGACAAGATTACATATGTACATCTGTAGATGTAGATGTCTACATGTTACATACTCGTACGTACGAACGTTTGTACATACAAACATATGTACGTACAAATTTGTGAGAACGTCGCAGTCGCGTCGTCTGTTACCGTTTTTAGCTTTCATGGGGTAACATTAACATCCGTCGCACACTCCACCCGTCTCCACATATACACACACACACACACTCCGCTGCCGCTGCTTCTGCTTCTGCCGCTGCCTATGTCGATGACTCTACGTTTTTCTGCCAGCCTCTGCTAATCATTCCTGCTCGCCTGCTCACTGCTTATGTTTATTTGTATATATCGAGCACACAAACGCACTCGGCGACTCATATGCAAAGCCCCCGCTCTTCGCGTACATACAACGATACGACTATACGACGATACTACAATACCCTCCCGAGTATCCGTCACAGCCAGCATTTGAACATCTGTGTCTGTATTTATGCAGATAGCTGTAACATACCCAACACATGTTAGCGCACAGAGGAGTATTTATGTATGAATGTAGCTTTAAAGGTGGAAAGGTTGAAGAACGGCGAACCAGTGGAAGGGATGAATAAGGCGCTGATGACCTTGAAGGATATATGTATGTTATAGAGAGGGAATATTAATAAAGGATCACATTCCTTCCTGCAATAATACAAAATCACCTTCATGCCAGCATGATCTTCTTAAATCTATATATTAACTAATAGCTTGGAATAATCTGAAACCTGATAAATGTTTATTGAAAAATCAAAGAAGAATGTTTCGACATTTGATTTTGATTCACGATGATAGGATATCGATGAGAAGATCCCTGTGGAACAATGTGTTTCGGTGGATAGGGACAGTCAAACATAATTGCTCAGTTGGCTTTATGTAGGTTATTACGATGACTCAGATAATAGTCCCCGTATAGATAGTCACACGCTTATCTTATAAAAGACAGTAAAACTGGGAAATATTTCGACTTGAGTTGAATGGCACATTTGGAGACATAAGTTGTAAAAATTTCCCCTTCCTGATGGATAAAATGGAAAACCTTTTATGAAAGATAAATACTGATTTTATATCTTGGAATCCCGAGCCTTATATCAACTTAGAATTATTATACACATCATTCAGTTCTAACGTTTGCTTTGACACTTTAGGTCTTGAATTACTGATTCTTTCTATTTTAGTGCATATTGCATCAATTGTATATTTTCTGAAAGTTTTCAGAGAGTAAATGATTTTAGTTTCCAGTCTAGATTCCAGATACCAGTCTAGTTACAAGACAACAAAATTGAAAACTTTTTTTTAGGTGGAAATTAAATAAATATTTAATGAACTAGGGGGTTTTTTTTATTTTATGGATTTTATGGAGTTGTGATAAATCGAGTTCATAAAAAAGGTGTAACAGAATAAAATGAAAAATATTGATCCGATCATTTCGAAATGAGTTCCTCAACAACCTCAAGACCTTACTCTCCTCACGCTCGGCTTCGAAAAGATTCAATCGAATTGGAAAGGTCTCCACTCTCCAACGGCCGTATCGGTACATTTCCAATGCTGTGGCGCGACTCCATGGTACTGAACGCTGCCGATAAGGGCTGCGAAAATAATATGAATAATAATAAGAGACCGACAGTCAGTTATCGTACGACAGAAGCCTACATATAGGCAGACCCGAAGAGCCTGATGCACAGCAGCAGCAACTGCATCGGCTCGGCGGACTTCACTTTAATCGGAAAGACTGGCTGCGTTTAGTGCTCTCGGAGCGACGTACCGTACATGCGTACAATCTTCTACGCCCAAAAAGATGCTGGTCCAACTGCTGACCCTCGGCCTGGGGATGATGCTGCTGGCGGAAGAGCAGCTGCAGGTATTGGCCCTGACCATCACCAACGGGCATTGCCAGAAGAACATCAGCGTCAAGTACCAGGTGCCGGTGACCAGGACACGCATGCCCGCCAACGCCAGCGCGGAGTCGCACGCGGAGCAGTACGTGGTCTACGAGGAGCGGATCCGCTGGGACAACGTGCAGGTGTGCTGCCCCGGGTATCGCGCCATTTTGTTTGGCTTCTGCGAGCCCATCTGCCTAGAAGCCTGCCCCGCCTACAGCTACTGCGTGGAGCCCAACAAGTGTCACTGCATGCGTGGTTACGAGCACTCCCACCACCCGAACAAGCAGCACCAGCTCATCTGCCGCCCGATCTGCCAGGGCGGCTGTCCGGAGCACAGCCACTGCGTTGCGCACAACGAGTGCGAGTGCCGGGCCGGCTACAAGGACGTGAGCAGGTGGTTCAGCCTCAGCCTCATCTGCGAGCGGGTCCAGTGCGGACAGGAGCAGCGCTATGACCCCGCCCGTCACACCTGCGTCAAGATCGAGATGAGCATGGAGGAGCTAATGCAGCGCGTGGCCGAGCGCCTAGCCCAGGGCCTAGAGTCGACCACCCAGTCAGATGGAGAGGACAACAATGAGCCTTAGTTAGGTTGCTCCTTGCTCTCAATGAGAGTAAGACGCTGCCTGAAGCAAATCATGTAACATACGAAAATGACAATCTTGAAAACAGTACCATAAAATGTGATGGAAATCGATTGTAAATTTTCTAAAACTACGAATAAACATAACTATTCGGTTTCGACTCTTTTTATAGAGATTACGAGATTGAACCTATGTATAGTCTAACCGACATGCAGATGTAATATGAAAATGTTGAATAAAATGCAGATACATTTTGGTTTATTTGTCATTCCATCTTCTAGAGAAGGGAGAGCAGTACAAGCAGCAGTACAACTTGCAACTTGAACACACACAAATATATTGCCTCATCCTCATTGCCTTATGTGCAGTTTTAAACACTACTTTGTTCACGGCCATCCAATAATCTTATACATTACTTTGTACACTAAAACATGGAACAATAAAACCATGGATGAAAATCGAACAACGGAGAAATCTTATTCCCAAATGTGAAGACAGACTTGTCGAAAAAGCTCGTCAGCTTCCATTATTTTGGTGACCAACGTGCGGGTTTCATTTCCATGTTGTGTTCTGTATATTTTGAACTGTCGCTCTCTTCTCTGTTCTGCATTATGTTTGAAATTGTCATTCCTGCTGCTTGTTCCTCAGCTTTGGCACCTTATCCATCCTTTAAGTGCGATATGCTGATTGCCAAAGCAAGAGTTACGTACATATCTATATAAATTTATTGTGGCACTTCAGACAATAATCAATTCATTGCGTTTCAGTTGGTAAAACAAGTTAGCATATACAAATTTAAAACTTAGGTACTAAATAGAAGATCTGTGGATCCAGTTGGCGGAAAGCTAGAGCCCAGGACAGCAGGCATACGAGTAGTGGTCCCAACTGCATTCTTCTAGAGCGCGTGTGTAGGTTAAGTATAATATCCAACAGTTAACATCAGCCTATATCCTATCTATATAAAGTGGCACTCTATTGGCTTGAAAGTCCGTTAAATTCAATTTCACATTAAAGCTCAGGTTCCGCTCTTTCATAGCTCTCTTTTTCTTTGTTTTTTAGTGTGTTCCTTGGGATTGGGATTAATGGTCTATGCATAGAGTTTCTCGATCTCATCGGCATACATCTTGGACACCACGTTGCGCTTGACCTTCAGTGTGGGTCCCAGCTCGCCGGTGGGTATGGAGAAGTCATGCGGTAAAATGCTGAATTTCTGGACCTTTTGGGCATTGGAGATGGAGACTTTGTTGGCTCGCTTGATGCCATCCTCGATGGACTTCCACACCTTGGGGCAGGGACCGGCCTTGAGGATGTCCGAGACTGTTTTGTGCTCCACTCCCAGCGACTTCACCCACACAGAAGACTCGTGGCTCAACTCGTCCAAAGGTTCGCCAGAATCCTTGTCCATTTCGGTCTGAAGGAAAGAAGGAGTCAGTATGCAGTACATTCAGCAAATTCTCAGGATGAACCCACCTTAATAGTGACCAGAACTGTCAGATACTTGCGCTGCTCTCCCACCAGGAAGGCATTGGAGATGCCATCGAGCTCCTTCTTGATCATGTTCTCGATGTGAACGGGCGGAATGTTCTCGCCGCCAGCCGTAATGATGATCTCCTTAGAGCGGCCTGTTAAGCTGACGTAGCCCCTATCGTCAACAAAGCCCAAATCTCCAGAGTGCAGCCAGCAGTCATCGTCCAGCGATTCTTCAGTTTTCTCCTTGTTGTCAATGTATCCCATGAACACGTGGCGTCCGCGGATGCACAGCTCGCCATGGCCGTTGCTGTCCTTGTTGATGAACTTCGACTCGCAGCCGGGCAGGGTCTTGCCAATGGAGTTCAGCGAGAGCGAGTCGGGAAGGCAAATGGTGTGGCAACCGGCTGTCTCCGACATGCCAAAGGCATCAAGGATCTTCAGATCCAGACTGAGGAAGTACTTCTTCGTCTCCGGCGACATGGGGGCCGCTGCACTGACCAGGGTAATCACCCGATCGAAACCCAGGGCCTGCTTCACCTTGGACATAATGAGCGACTTGGCAATCTTGTAGCGGAAGCCTCCGGAGCTCTTACTGCAAGAACGTTGGACAAAACTTTAATTAGTATTGTTTGCTGATGAGTTTTTCGAGGCTGCCACCAATACAACAGGGAGCTAAGAGGGGTCTTCATACTCCTACAGTCGGCTTTTGAATTTTTAATAGACGCCTGCTCCTCTTTATAGACAGAAAAACTATTAGGAAAGTATATATTTAAGCTGTTGCTTAGAAAGCCTTCATTCTCGTTGCGGATGTTGCTTTGCTCTTAAAGGGCAGGGATGATGGGTTTTCTAATGCTCCAATCACTGCTAAAGTATTTTCAGGTGGAAGCTTCTCACGATGGCCGAAATATCTGCTGGTGGCTGGTTGCCGGCTCTGTCCCCGCTTTCGAGGACGTGCCCGCATGGCATGTCCTGGCGATTGCCGGCAGCAGGGGGGAGCCGTGCCCGCGTGCTGCACGAGACGTATGAGTAATGTTGTTGTCAGTGATTCTCGCTTAAACCAGTGCACGGCCCAGGCACAGAGCGTTGGCGCTCGGCTTGCATAATTTAGCAGAACCGAAACACGTCTTCCCGGGCAGCCAGGACACTCTGCTCCTCGGCCCTTGAGCTGGCTGGCCAGGAGGCTGGGGCATGAAAAATGCAGGCATGGAATGGAGTTTATAAGTGGAGGATAGGAACGGGTCGGGTCGGCGCTGCAGCCACTTTAACTGTGCATCCTTTTTGCATAATTTATGGGCACACAAAGCAGAAGTTGAAGTATTTGGTGGCCGCCGTTTCGTCCGGTTTGGGGAATACTTACCCTTGACTCGCCATGTAGTGCTTCAGAGTGATGCCCTTGGCCCAGCCGGCGATCATCTTCTTGAAGCTACCGCTGGAGCTGGCCACGGCCACCATGCGTTCCTGGAACTTCTCGTAGACGCGCGGAACGCCCATGAACCGCGTGGGCCTTGCATCCTGCAGCGTCTTTACCAGAGTGCCCTTCAGCGCGTCCTTGTCGGCGAACCAAATGCAGCCGGCGATCGAGGCGCACGTGTAGATGTCCACCGTCTGGGCGGCCACGTGGGAGAGGGGCAGATAGGAGACAATCGACTCCGAGCCGGCCACAACGCGCTCCATCGACTTGGCGATGCCCCGGGTGTCGAAGCTGATGTTGTCGTGGGATAGCATCACGCCTTTGGGCATACCGACGGTGCCGGAGGTGTACACTAGACAGCAGCACTCGTTGATCGCAATGTTCTCCAAGCGGGTCTTGTACTGATCCTCCACGTCGCTCACGTTCATCGACTCAATTTCCGACCACTGGAACGAGAGGAGGGGAGAGCCGTTAATTAAATCGAATTACAGTAGGTATAGTAAGCCCCACTCACCCGATAGTAGCCATCCTCCTTCTTGAGGTACGGCGCGTAGGGCTCCTGGATCTGTATGGCCGCCTTGAGTTGGGGCAACTTATCCCGGATGGAGTGAATCTTGTCCATCTGCTTGGAATCGTCAACGACCACGATCTGGGCCTGGGAGTTCTCCAGCACGTGGAGCACTGCGTCGGCGGAGTTCGTGGTGTAGATGCCGGCGATGATGCCACGGGCGTGGATGGCGCCCATCGCCGAGTAGAACCACTCGGCGCAGTTGAAGGCCAGCACTCCCACCGAGTGGTGCTCCTCCAGGCCGATCTTAATGAACGCCTTGGCCACCTGGTGCACCTTCTCCTCATATTGTCTGGGTGGGGGATGGCGTGGCGTGGTAATGCAATTAGCGGAGGTAAGTAAATTGCAAAAATTCGGAATCGGATTAGCCAGCCAGCGTCCTCCGTACTGTACTCACTTGTAGGTGACTGTCTGATAGCCAGTCTTTCCGGTCTTGGTGCGCAGGGCGGGGTAGTCGGGGAAGTTGTTGACCGTACGCTTGAGCAGGCCGGGAATGGAGATGGGCTCCTCGGCGCCAATTCCCTCCTTCTGCATGCGTATCTTCACGGCATCCTTCGGATTGGTGGTGCGATAGACCTCCGCCTGCCTCAGGCGATTGGGGCCGGGACGATTAAAGAGCGCTTCGTTGGCGGACATGACGTTGGCGGTCTGAAATCGAGTTTGAGTTAAGCAAAAGCGAGATTAGTTTTTCACTTTCACCTGCGCGGCTAATTTAGTTTTAAGCAAATTGACTTGCAGGTGGGTGGAAATAGAGCGGCGGCTCGAGAAATCATACGATCTATGACTAAAGTGCGAATGTACACAGGTTCTTGGTTCTTGCCTTTTCTTCCATCCCCGATAAGACCACCACTCGAGCTGTTCTTTGGGTTGGCCAATGTCAAGGCTTCCGTTTCATATGAAGCCTCTTATCATTCGCTCGAATAATATGACTTAACACCTGATTATGGGGTGGTACTCATATCAAAACTTTAACGTGTCATACATATGTATATTTATGTACATATTTGAATGTTAAAACTGGTATTGTGGATTGACTAGGAGTTACTGCTCGATAAAGGAATACTCGTATTAAATATCAAAGGAAACGCTTTCACACAATCGCTTCAATCTTACAGAATTTCGGCTATTATGCACACCACTTATCTCGTTGAGAGTTATCAAATCGGAATATGGTGGCACGAAGGCATTGGCCCCGACAGTGGTAAGTTTTTTTCAATGGGTTTTATTTGGCCCGGTACAAAGGCCAAGACTCGTAATTGGTGGTATCTGCAAAGCATACCAAAACCACCTACAAGTCTATTTCCAGGTTTTGTTTTTCCTTTATTAATCAATAAATGTTGGCCAGTTAGCGGTGCATACGAAAAACTAAGGGGAGATAAGACCCAAAATAAATAACAAGCTAATGAAGAATTCAGTCCAGAATGAAACAGCTAAAACAGCTGACTCGGCAATCAGGAGAGTCCAAAGGGTCAGCGCATTCATAGGCATAGACATAGTATGAATACATACATATGTATGTATGAATTTCCGATGAGTGAAAACCCCATTATTATT